TAGTACCGTTGTAGAGAATCTATCTGCAGAGAAAGAAGTGTACATAGCATGTGGCCAGAGAAGCATGATCCTGAGTGGCATGTATGCATGCGGAGGCCGAACCCAATACTCCGGTGTGTGCACCGTGTGCGGGCTGGTTTGCGTGCGCAAGTGGCGCGCGCGTTTAGCTCAGCGCCGTTGGCGCGCGCCGAATTCCCACAGTGTGCGGGGGCCTTTATGCAGTTGATGCAGCTATAAACAAGGGGTATCGCGGAATCATTTTGTGAACGGACAAAAAATACATGTTTCGGCAGCGTCTACACTTCACAAAATTATTCCTCGACACTCCGCTCTCACCACCCACTCGTCCTTCATTCCTCCCCCTCCTCCCCTCTCAGTCACCTGACACGCTGACAGTAGACTGGTACTCGCTCCCACCTCGATTACTCGATGGACCTAAGTCTAAGCCGAGAGGTGGGACCGGGTACCAGTCTACGCTGACAGGTGGCAGTGTTTCCATGTCTCACTGTCTGAGATATTTTGATTTGAGAATCGGTGGAGGTTGCTATAGGACGAATAGTATCGTCACACAAAAAAGTTTGTTAAACGTTGCAAAAACATGTATCTATGCGTGTGTGTGTGTGTGTGCGTGCGTGCGTGTGTGTACATTGGACATCACACGCGGCAATTCGACAACGGACACAATGGCGTAGCCAGGAATTTGGATTGGGGAGGTCCTCGAGCGAGTAACAAGGGGGTCGGTGGACTGAATTTTTTTTTTTAGTTAAATGTAAAAATAGTGCTTTAAAATCAATTTAGACGCTGTTTTGTTGACAATACTATTTCTTCTGCAGCTCTACAACGACACGCTTTTAAGAAAAACGAAAATAGAGAATTTTTTGGGGTGATTTTGATTTTGATTTGGGGGTCGTAGGGCCCCCAGGAACCCCCCCCCCCACTTCTGGCTACGCGCTTGAACGGACAACAGACAAGGAACATCGTTTCACAACGACCGAGTGGCGGGCAAGCGGCGAGGGATGCAAGGCAACTGTATTGTTTTGTGCTTTTGTTTCTCTTGTCGGGGTTTCTATTTTTAGGATTTATTTTTCATCTGAGTTTAATAGATTTTATGATTGATTAACACTTGAGGTGAAGATTTTATTGCATCACGGTGGTCAGTGAGGGTGAATTTGTTGGCTGTGTATATGCCGCGTAGGTTTTGTATCATGGTGGTCAAAGAGAATGATTTATACATTTTTTTTCATGGCTATGTGTATTGTTGCATATTGTGTTCATCGAAGGTGATATTGCATAGTGTGGTAAATGTAGTCGGAAACTCGAGTTCTTTTATATTGTATTGGGAGCCTTTTTGCTTCAAATGTTGTTGCTGTCGTTGATATTGTTCCTTGGTGTTGTGTATTGTTTACAAGTTCTCTGCTCAGATATCAATACGTTGTGCTCGCTAGGGATAGAAATCTAGTAACTAACTATAGTTTGCATACAACAGTAGCTTTCCGCTAACTGTTCACCAATGTTCCCTCAATGTTGCACTATTTCGTCTTTTGAAAAGGCCTTTTGAATTATTTTGCGGTAGAATTTGACACTAGAGTGCACTAATTTGCATTATCCACGCAAGGCAGATGCCTCGTAGACGTCTAGAACGCATCAGAAGTGAGATTGGTGTTTTCGTGTAATTCTGCCATCCCGTCAAGTGACGTAGCCATGGTGACCGATCCGCCGTTTTCGTGTTTGAAGCGGCATTCGACTTCTTTCTAGAAATGCGCATCATTTATACCCAGTTCAGACCACAGGCACTTGGAGCGTTTCAATAAAATATAATGCTAAATAAATACGAAATCTATTTACTACCAAAGTCTTAATGTTTCTCTACTCTCTAGCTTTCACCTATTATTGCCGACAATTTCCTGTAAATGTCGTCCAAATGCTCGTGACCCATCTGCAACACACGCTGGCTGCCGCACGCTAGCTGCTGCACACTGACACATAAATATATATTGATTTTTATATAATAAATTTTTATTAAATAAATAAAAGAAAAACAACAACTAATAGAACAATTACAACTTTCGTAGTAAATAGATTTCGTATTTATTTAGCATTAAATTAATTATTTCGTAATTCCGAGAAACTATTGCGTAATTACCTATTTCGTACCCTATTCGTTACCCATTCGTTCCCATTCGTTTACCTATTTCGTTACCTATTTCGTAATTACGAGAAACTATTTCGTAATTACGAGAAACTATTTCGTAATTACGAGATACTATTTCGTAATTTCGAGATAAAAAAATTTTTTTGTGGCACTAAAATGCTGCCGTAAGTGCGGGCCAGGCGCGCATCAAGTTTTTGCAGTGTGATATTTTTTCTTTTCATATAAAGTTATTATAATATAGGTGCGGGCGGACAGCCGGGAACTTTGCCAATCCGGGACTTCTCTTAATCTTAGCAACCAGCTGTGCCGGTGAAAACAACAGTTGTCTCAGTGAGCCTTCACACGCAATACACATTTCCAAACCAAAAGACTATTTATAACTTTCCTTGCATAATATGCCGAAAAATGTTGTGTAGTAGGTTGTCCAATACATATTATATTGCACAGATAAGAAAATATATTTTTGAGCTGCAAAATGACATAAGAGCTCCAGAGAGGCGTAGGATAAGTCATAAGTGGACTGATGCATTAAAATGTAACATGAGTAAAATGAAGTAAATGTAAATTGAGATAACGCACTGGAGAGAGTTCCGTCAAATTCTCACGATTTGTTCTTGATCATTTCGATGACAGGTGAAACTACTATTTTATACTGCGTTTTTGTCGTGCTGTGTGTGTGTGTGTGTGTTAGTGTGTGTGTTGTGTGTGTCCCGAGTCAAGTCTAGCAGATCATCAGTGAAACCCGGCAGGGATCAGTTCAGAGCCGGGGACCCCTTCATAGTCTGTGTGTGTGTGCGTGGAACGTGCGCGCTTTGTTGCGTGCGTGTGTGCGTGTGAGAACATGTGTCAACTTGTGGCTCAAAGGAGGTCGTTGTCGTAACAAGGGTTATCACAGATATGTACCGAGGTAATATTATTGTATATACAAAGTGTACCATGTACTTGTAACTAAGCAAGTGGTACCTATACCCTAACACTAACCCTAACTATACCTAACCTAACTCTAACCCTACTCCTACACCCTAACATACCTCATATTAAAATATAAAATCATACTACAACCAACCTTAAAATACTTTCGCGTAATATCATGTAAGTACCTGTTACGACAACGACCCTTCGTCGCGTTCACGGACCGTGTTGTGCGCATTGTGCGTGTGCCGTGGTAGCTGTGTGTCTGTGTGTGCGAGTGCGTGCGTTGCGTTGCGTCTGGCGCCGCGCGGGTGCGGTTTGATTGTGTCTTGTGTGTTTGGTGGTGTGGTGCGTGTTAGATATGCTTGTGTGCGTGTGGTTCAGTGATTGCTGTCACTGAAATGTGGTGCGAGTGACGTTGTGCGTGTTTGTGTTGTCACCGTTGTAGTGCGTAGTGTCGTGTGAGTTGTGTCAACCGTTGTGTAGTATGCGTGTTGCATGTGAGTGTGTCGTGCGTGGTGCCGTGCTGTGTTTGTGTGTGCGATGTGCGTGTGTGTCCGAGTGTGTCACTGGACGGTGTGCGTTGTCGCGTGGCGTGGTAGCGTGCGTTCGTGCGCGCCTGCTGTGTTTTGTGTGTCCTATGCAGAGCCTGTCGTGTGCGCGTTGGTGGTGTCGTTTGTGCGTGTGCGTCGTGGTTGTGAGTGTTGTCATGCTGTGTACAGATGTGCTGTGTGCTGTGTGGTGTGAGACTGTGTCACTGCTGTGTGCGTGTGATGTGTTGTTGTGCATGATGCGTGTGTGTGCTCGCCGTCGCGTGTGCGTATGGTTCGCGTTAGTGCGTGGAGTGATGTCACTGTGTTGCGCGTGTGGCCGTACGTGAGTGATTGTAGTGGGTGGCCATTCTGTAATCTTTGGAACTTTGTTTTTGTTTCCGAGACTGGGGTAATTTTATTCAATTTATGCAAGCAAAGACAAATACAATTAAGAATAGCTTAAATATTTATATTATGCTATCTTAATGTATCATATTTATCTTACTAATGTTATATGTATAACTACAGAAGAGGCCTATTGTATACTCGTAAGGCATATTTAGAAGAAATATACATTGAAAAAAATTATTAAAAACTTCCAACCAAGTGACGGATAATTCGTATCGTTATGCAGTAATCACTATGGGCGCCAGTGGCGCGATCGTGTTGTTTTCACCGGCGTTCTGCTGGTGGTCACGTGACTACTGATCTGTGACGTAGCGCCGCCCGCACCTATAGAGATCACTATATATTATATTATAGAGATCAGTGATAGAGATCAGTGGTTGCCCACCTCAGGGCCACCTTACCTGTGTTGCAGGTATCGAACATTTGAACGCCATTTACGTGGCAATGGAGAGAACAACACAAACGTTACAGATATACTCATATAGACTTTTACGGAAATACAACTTGTGTTTATCTAACATGATTTTATTATTAAAACGGCCCAAGTGCCTGAGATATTCTCAGTCTATGCATGGTCGGTGGTTGGTGGATGTTGCTGTGGACCATCTTGCCAGAGAGCCTACTGATCTATAATTATATTATATTTATTTATTATTATTATTATTATTATTATATATATTATTATTATATATATATATACATATATATATTTATTTATTATTTATTATATATTAGATTATATTATAGAGATCAGTGTGTGAGCCCCAAAAGCAGAAAAGTAACCAAATGTGGCGTACACGCACGCGCACGCGCTTCGATACCGACAAATACTGAACAGAATAGTTCTACATTGTGAAAAAAACATTTAATTTTATAAACTAGACTTCCAGACCCCAAGTATCTGTATATTTAGGACTAATTAATTTTCTAATAGTTATTTTTTCTATCAACCCTATCTCTTTTTGCGAATCGAATATCAAACTAGTTTCACGACGGTGACGTAGATGTGGCAGATATCAGCGCCAATATGAAATATTACGTTTAATCGACATGTTATTTGTACAGATCATTCAATGCTTTTGCTGTGTTTTGTTTTGTTATGTACTATGTGTAACGGGCACATTCAAGCAGTTCGATGACACCATATTATATCGCCCTGTTTGGCCTGGGCCTTTCCAGGAGCGTGTAAACCAGTTGCACGTTAGCGGTGTACGTTTATTGCAATATTATTATATATTGAATATTGCCATTGGCATGAACATACAAATACAATCCTACTACTACTAGTACTAGTTTAGCACATCGGATTAGTTTAGCACATTTGCGAAAACACATTCGCGGGGTCCTAAACCAGGATTGTCCAAACATACATTGACACTTGAGCCTACAGAGTACAGGTCCAGTTTTTTTCAACGCCTTACACGCATAGTGACATACTGTCACTGGTCACTGTTAAAGTGTTATACCCCGTACGAATTTGATATGGTATTAAACTAGCACGCGCCAGGCCCGCGCCAAGTATTTGCAGTGTGTACACGCTATCCCACTCAGGGTTCTCCCTACGTTGCGCAAACGGGGCGCGCGCGCCCCGTTTGGGAAAACTCCCCCCTGTTTCAATCGTTGCGCCCCGTTTAGATTACCTCCGCCCCGATTAAATTCCACCACAATAAAAGTTTGACAGTGAGGAAATCTCGATCGTCAAGAATTCCCATTCGACCAGGACACCCTTACCGTACCACGCATGCACTGCAGACCACACACAAGTACAAGCAGCCAACCTGTCCCGAACCCCACACTAACTGTACACCGACTCGGCTATCTTATATATACAAGAACCCCAAATACCGTCTATGGTGTGGTGGCGATTTTACGCATTAATTAGTGGTACGGTAAAAAAACACGCCCTGAGACGACCAAGCACTATGATACTCCTTGTTGTCGCTCCGGACAACTGCCCAAAAAAACATTAAAATTGAGCACTGGTATATATATCAAGGCTAATATACACCTAGAGTGTCCAATGGAAAAACTGGGAAATAATGTATTTCACGGCAATATTATTCTACTGAGGCCTGTGGGAGGCCATGATTACGCTCCAATATCTCGGCTAGGAGTATCGTAGAGACAGAGCGGTTGTCTTCATTTTAGAGAGCAAAGGATGCTGCTTAACGCAATACCATGAACTTAGTCTAGAACCGCATACAAAGTAGAATAATATTGCCGTGAAATGGCAGTATTTTCCCGTTGTAACACTCTAGGTATTTATTAGCTGCTTCAGGGAACAATTTTCAGCCAAAAATTTGCATAGCAAATGTGCTATACAAATAAAAATTTGCATAGCAATTGATAAATTGTATAGCATTATTTTTCAGACAATCACAGTGCAAATTTACACCGCAGTGCATGCTTGGCGTTGTTATCGTGTCGGCCTGTGACAGGGCACAGCTAGCTTAAGCCTAGGACACACTAGCGATTCTGCACGCTGCCGCGGCAGCGTTAAACAGGCGTGCACTTGGCACTCGCCCGCGTCCAATGTCCGAGTTGAAAATAATATCGGGCCGGGCGAGTGAAAGCTAGCTGACTCGCCATGTTGGCGAGTAAAAATAATTGTCTAGAACTTTAATCAAATGTTGGTTCCTTACGTTATATATCCAAACATTGATGAAATACAGTTCTAGCGATTGTGAAGGGCGCTATCCGACTCCTCGACCACGACATCTCTCACTTTTATATTATCAAAGTCGACGAAGAAAGCAGCCCGCGAGAGCCGCGCAGCGCGCAGCACAGCGTGGCTGTGTATACGTGCCTGGGGCGGCATATTGGATTGATGTACGGGGGGGGGGAGTGCAGGATTGTTAAAAGTCACGTTGGCCTTGGTGTTAAGAAATCAATAAAATCGGTGTAACGTGGCATTTCATTGACGGGGCAAAGCAGCAGCCTAAAAAATACTTTTTTTTATTACGAGAGCTCTTTTTTGATTTTGTATGAAAAAAAGAGGCTCTCGTAATTTTGTTTACGGGAGCTATTTAAGCTTGGCCAGAGCTACTTTTTCATAGCATGATTTTGTTAAAAATTTCATAATTTTGATGCACTGCCTCTAATAATGTCTCAGAAGCCAGAATTGTGTCTAATTATCGTAAAGGTGTTTCCCAAACAAAAAGTCAAGATTATGCTTTGGCGAAATCGCGACGAGGTCACAAATTATGCCTAATGGTGACAAAATCAGGAGGCCGGGTTTACATGTTGCTGTATGCATGTTGTGTTACAAAGTATGACTGTATGCACTGATTGTCTCATTCGCATTGTTTTTAATTCAAATCCGTTATGTCTAGCCATATCAATAAAAACTTGCTTGCCCAAACAGGGAAGTGCAATTCAAACTACCTTCCCGCGAATTTTGCTTGCCCCGGGCCATCGGGCAAGCGGTTTGTCGAGCCCCGGCACGCGCAGGGTTCGAATTTCGGCTGAAAATCTAGTGGACAGCAGGACCACCAACTTCAGAAAGTTGTGGACCTGCACAAAAATTTGGTGGTCAGCTTATTTACTAGCAGTGAGTAACAAAATAGTAATATAAAGATAACCATGTGAATTAAAACAGCATACGCATAACAAGGAGTTTAATGAAGACAATAGTGTCTTCATAACTCTTGATGTAACTTAATTAGAGTTGGTCAAATAATGTTTCAATCTCTAGGAATGTCGGGGAGCTTCTGGTAAGGTTTTACTTTCGTTTTTCTCTCCCCAGTCCACGCGTACCCCGCATGCATAGATCTATCAATGCTGCCGCGATCCACAAGTTACAAGTGCCTAGAATCTTCAAGTATATACAGTTTACATTTCTCTCTAAATATCTACCTGAATAAAAACAGTCCACTTTCTACGTAACGAATTCAGAAAACAGCTTTGATTACGTGCGTGTCAGGTGTGACTGGTCGTGCACCACTTCCCACAATAACCCCTGCGATATATAAACTTATTGTTACGCGGTTATAAAAACACATTGATTTCTTATAGACTATCGCGAGTTTTTGTTTCGTGTGGCGAATCATGCGTTGAGGGAGTTCATGCAGCTCTAGATGTTTTGGAATACCCTAGCTGTCTACGTTGAGGAACGGGTCGTAACGCTGCGGCGCACGGGAGCGATTTTTTCTCGTAGCTTCCAAAATTTTCGCTCTCGTAATTGTTGTTACCAGAGCGCTTTGAAAGCTGACGGGAGCGAAATCGCTCGCCGCCCGGTGATTTTTTTCGCTGCAAAGCAGCCCGAGAATAAAAGTAAATTGTAACAGTGTATGTTTCCGTTTACATCTCGCATGGGCTGCATGCACAAACTGCGATTCATAAAAAAATATGCGTAGCAAATGGCTGAAAATACATCGCGAATTGCGATGCGATACCGGGAAATTATTCCCTGGCTCTTGATATATAATATATATATTATTGTATATTTATATATATATATATAATATATATAATATATATATATATATATATATATATATATATACTGAATATATGCTGAATCTAAATTTTCACAGTCAAGGAATTTCGCAGAATGCATCTCGGAGCGTCTAAAATCAAAACCCAGATCCACCCACCTCACCCCCCCCCCCCACCTCCCCGCAAATGGCAAAATTTACTCACTGCGTAGCCTCAGCGCGGCACTTCAGAAAGTAAGGGCTGGAGAATATTTTTAAGGGCTAGTAAGATTTACAGGTCACTAGCCCTGCTGGCTAAGTGAAAGTTTTAGGTTAGTTTCAAGCCCTGAGTAGTGTGTTACATCATTCACGTAACCACTTTAACGTAATTGGCGAGGCCGACGAAGACAAGAAATTCGCAACTACACACCCGAGGGATATAGATATGAGTACAATTAGTGCATGTTTGGTCGGCGATACTTTGTGTTTCTAAAAAGTGTAAAAGTGGCATTCAGTCCTCATCAAGAGTAC